CCTATGTGTAACCTGGATTCGAGCCAGTTTCTCTTAAAAAGACCTCCACGGGGCATTCATATCTTTCTGTGTAGTGACTAAGGGCGGAAAGCGTAATAAGTAAAAAAGAGGCTGAAGGAATTAAGTTGTTGAAGGACAGATGAAATAAAGGTAACGTCTATCAAAGTAATATTTAAAAGCCTACGTTAATAGATACCTTCTTATATAATTTTTACTAATTTTATTTTCTTGTTACACAAATTATTTGAAAAAGATTACACAAAAATAAGATGTTGATCGATTGCACGTTAAAGTGGAGTGAAAACATTTTATCTGGAAATTTTAAGTCGTATTTATGTAGAAAATGCAACTTCTATTATCCACGTTTAAAACGCAAAATTACTTTAAAATTAATCCCAAATGTCTTTGGCTGCCAAAATCTTCTTAAAATTTTCGCTATTACCCTAACTACTTCAAATATTTCACATTTCGACTACTGCTTCATAGAAATATTGTACATTTCGGTTGCACAAAACCACGCTTTACAATTTTAAAAGTTGTTTCAGAAGTTTATAAAGCTAAATAAAACGACTGAGCGCAAAGGTCCAGACGGCTGGTGAAGACTACTACATCGTGCTTGGAGCCGGGCGCCAGATTGCGTTGAGAGCAAACCAGCGAGATTGTTTTCGTTATATTTCAGTTGTTGTTCTGTGAAAGGGTGTTTAATCGACTGTTTTCAATTATAATTTTAAAATCGAAAGACTAATTAACTATAATTTTGTAATATATAAAATGCCTTTGATATGATTAGATGTTTCATTCTATATTTGAAGCACTAAAACCGTTATGCGGTATTAAGCTCTGCCAAAGTATAACGCGTTATTAGACACATAATAAAATATAAACCAGAACCCAGTTTGTCTTTGTATTTTCATAATTATTCATTTCAGGCTTTGTGGGATAAATGCATCATGACTGTTATTTCAAATAAATGAAATACAATGAAAGACTATCATTGCAAATATAATATTAATGAGAATGGTTTGGTAACAGAGTAGGACAACTTAAAAATTTAGACAACCAATGACTCATTTAATGAATTGGCCTAGTGAGAAGTCTTCTGATGTTTTGCTGTGTAAATGTGAAGACTTATCAATTTCTGCTTGTAAGGTAAAAGCCGAAAACAATGTTTTAAACAATAAAATAATTGTAATAAAAATGTCTTTGGAAGCTTAAAGATTATGTGGTTATGGCAAAGCCTCGAAAACTCTCTGCCTAAGGGAACGGATGCCTTCGTGGAGGACTTTCTAAGGGAAAATGGCTCTTAAACATATTACATATGGGGAAAACCACGAAAACGTCCATGTAGCCAGCCCGTTCAGGATTAAAAACTCGGACCAGATGTTATTGGAACATTTGATCCGACAACTATGAAAATTCTTAAGAAGACGTTGCAACATAAGGCCAAAACCGAAAAATGATTTCAAGCAGCTGCAAGAAATTAGAATTCAAACAGCTCATGTGTAGAATCTTTTTTCTCTATTTTTCCCGGAAACAAATAATTCATTCTATTTTGCCCTCAGATGAAGGTTAATACATTAAATTTATTCCCGAGGGAAAATGAAGATGTCCAATAACAATAAAATCTCCAATTTCCCAAATAAGAATGAAAATAAAATTTTTAACTCAAGCATGTGGCACAACTGAAGTTAAAAATGTGTCACAGCAATTGCTGTTAATACTGCTTTAAAAAGTAACAGGGTTTTAATTAAAATAGTTGTATCAAATACTATCGTTCATAGCAAAATAAGAAGATAAGAAGCAAAAAAAGTTTTGATCAAAATTTAAGAAAACGGTCCTTACTATAGGCTGTGTGGTGTTTAGTTTTAAAGGTAAGAAGGATTAGACATAGAATTGAATAGACAGCCCATTTCTCGCGATCTTTTCTGGGTAGTTTTATTTAACAGACAGAAATTAGCTAAAACTATTTGTGTTGCATGATGGGTAATCTACAGCTAGAATTACTAATATCGATAGTTTAGATAAGTATGAATTTTCCAGGCCAGAGTGGCAACCAATCACATTAACGTATGGATCTCAAATTTCCTAATTAATATCTACCAAAAGCAACTCTCCGCGCATAAGTCAATAAATTAGGAAAAACGAAAAACATTGGGGGGTGGTAGGGGATTTTTTTATTCCACCTTGCTGCACATAGACCCATGGTTCTAATTAAAAAAAACAAAAGGAAATGCATAAGCTAGATTTTCCTACTACGAATATTTCCATCAGATGACGTATTTTAGTAGGAAGGATATACTAAACTAAAATTTATCCAGGTTTTTTTACGAAGAAAGTTACAATCAGTAAGCTGTTCTCCATCCAAATCCGTATTTGTACATAAGATGATTGACTAAAACTATCAAAATTATATACTTCTAACCACTTTTGCCCAATGAAGAGGGTGTAAATTTCAGGAGTTGAATAAAGTTTAATTTCATTAAAGGCGTACTCTGAAATTTTAATGTATCTGAAAATGATGATTTGAATTTAATGTACCTAATTTATCGTTTCTCTAAAGCAATTATTTTTTTTAAATTTGACCTCATTGGAATATTTAGTATGCATATTAGCTTTAGCAATATATATATACGGGTGCGAACATTTTTATTAGCAGTAAATTTAGTATTGGAATGGATTCTTTTTTTTATTAATTAGATTATAGAATAGATTGGATTGTTTACAATAATTACGCTATACTTAGAACTGATTTTTTCCTTCTTTGTTTCGCCTACGTGGATAGTAGAAAAATTCAAATCTTGGGTACTTTTACGATAATGTATTACAAAATCCAAAACTGTGGGAATCCTAACATACCTATCTGAAGTTCTTTTATTTGTGATGTATAGCTGTTATTTAGCTGTTAATACTGTGAACCGCCCATATTTTTTTCTGTGAAGTGAACGTTTACAGGCAAGCTTCAGTTCAAATAAACATTCGTGATTTTAAATGCTAAAGTAAAATACAATTTTACTCCAAGGCATTTGTGCTCATTAAAATTCTGTATTAAAATTCTATTTCAGAATTAATATCATAAAAAATTTAATCGCACCAAAATACCCGTATAATACGTATTATATCATATATAAGTCGCAGTGAAAATTTTGCTTTTACGGCGTTTTTATAAAAGTTGGGTTTTCATCTATATGCATAATAGGCTTTCTGTGATATCAGTCCTTGGCTCATTCCTTAATCTTTGTTTAATTTTTAAAAATGTGTGACTAAAACCTTTTTCATGATATATATCAGGGAATATCAAGCTCTCATGACACAGCCCTCCAATAACTTATCATCTCTAATGCAGTTCAAAGAAATAACAGGATCTGTGGTATTTCTTGATCATTCATATCTGAAATGCATTGTATAACATAGAAAAAGTATCTAAAATAAGGGAAACTGAAGTTAAAAATAAACGAAATAGGATCTAATATTTAAAATTTTATCTTTCAGTAACTGTAATGCTTGTAATTAAGATGATTCTGTCGGGCGTTTAACTTTAATATGTCTCAAGCATGATACAGTATTGAAAAACCACAATAGGGAGAAATGTCAAATCGCAAGGCAAGGTAACATTTTATATATTTTAATAGATGCTACTTTTGTCACCAATAACTGCTTCTAAGTTAAATGAATTTCCCCCAATAAGATAATGAAATAAATGTAAATTTAATCGTTTCCATTGTATTATTATTTATAAATTAGTGACAATGACAATAATTCTAAATTCCAACTATTTTGAAAATTTATGAATTGAAACAAAACATTGCACTGATTCTTAACGTAAAAAAAAAAAAAGTTAATAGTAGTATCGATTTTTGAAACATCATACTTGTCTCCAACAAAATTTAGTGTACACTTTTTTATTACTTCTATTTTATCACTAAATTAAAGGCACTTCGCTAGAGCAGTATTGTAGGATCTCTGACCTTAGGCAAATTATTCAATTTACTACAAGAAATTAATGATTATTCCTAATCTCGGATCGCGTGACATGAAATTGTAGCATTTTAAAAAATAACATTGCAATTTATCTAATTTCAATTTGGGATTTAAATAAATTTCGAAATTTACTATATTTATTTTACTAAATGTTTTGTCAATATTACTGCCTGTTAATAAATTATTTACTCATGTTATTACTGACATCATTGTTTTTAGCAAAGAATTAATTTAATAAACTTTTCAGTTTGATATCATTTTCGCGCTGGTACTTCTTTTGACAATAGAAAATGGAAAATAATATAAATAACCATTTTATTTTTTAAAGATGTCTATTAGCTATAATATCATTACATAATTTGAAGTAACTCTTATAAAGATTTGAAACTGATATAAGAGAATAAAATACATACTGTGTAATCTAGTACTTTATAAAGTCCTTAAATGTTATATAACATAATACATTCTCATTGAGGTAGAGGACATGTCAATTTGTTCACAATAATAATTAAATTTCTTTTGAATGTTGGAATATTTTTTTGAATCGTACGAAAGATATATAAACAATAAATATATATGTAAAAAATATAAATGTCAGTTTAAATAAGTATCAAACTGTACTTTTTAATCTTTAGCTACTTATTACGAAAAGAAAGCAAAATTTTCAATGTTTATATAATATTTATTCTTTATAATATTTATAATTATTTATAATATTTTTTAAATTAATTTCTTTATAATATTCATTCTTTTTTCAGCATCTCGATTTCTTTTGGAAGGGGGGAATTATGAGCTAGCTATCTAGATGGTTGATGTGCAAGTTTTTTAAGTACTTTCTTATTTAAGCAGCATATACTTTTGATTTATTTAATTAATCAAATGTTTATACCGTTTCATTTCGTAATTATATTATTTATAATACACATAGTAACAAACAATTTTATGTGTAAGAATAATTCATTACAAATAAATGCATAAAACTGTAAAGATATTTTATAAAATGTTAATAATAATTTACTCACAATCGGCGAGGGATTATCGTTGATTATCTTCTGAAGATAAATTATTGAAAAGAGAGCTTGTTAGCAGCAACAGGTGATGACCCCCAAGTAAAGAGTGAAGACCGAAAAGTTAGAATGCCGCTGGGATATCTTTCTACAAACGAGTGTCGCGCCCCCTTTTAAGCGAAAAGTCGCCCCCTTATTCGTCCACTTTTCGTCAACCACCCCTTCGTCCCCCGACTATTGATAGCGACGTCACAATCTGAACCACCAGTTGGATCTTTCGGTCCAAGCGTCACGGATGCGTGGAATGTCGGGATAAATCATGACGTCAACATAGTATGGCTAATATGGGAGAGACGTTTACGTAAGAATTCAGGAATTTGTTTAATTTTATTAATCCTAACCAAGTCATGAGTTATTATTCTTCCCACTTTTGTCACTATCTGCCGACAGAATATTCTTTCTTTCCAAAACTATGTAATTTATCTCGAAATTTCATTCCGATGAATTCAATGATATCATTGAATTATTGCACCCTGACAGAACATTTTATTACAGGTGATTTAGATTTACGTATAAGATTACTTTTCTTTTATTTCGTTTCCCTCTACAATAAATCAAACAAAGTTTTTATCTAACGAAAATGCCTTTAACTGCTGTATTTTCTACATTTATAATTAACATTACACAAGTTCCCTCAATTTGATTCCTGAAATAGTAAATTATCACTAGAAATGTACAAAATTTTCGCGAAAATATTAGATGCGATGGGAGTAAATTGAATGCAAGATGTAATAGCCAACTAACTGAGTCAAATTAAAAATCTTTTCTAAATGAAAATATCTTTTACATGTTTCAGTGAATAATTAAACGACACTAGCAGCATACTCGAATAATGAAAATAACTTTAGCTAATTGTAAACTCTAAATAAACTTATTATAAGGTAGTTTTATTTTTAAAATATGAACTTTATTGAAAATAATGGAGATCTATGAATTAAACTTTCAAAATTAATTTATAAACTGTAATAGAAGTTAAGATAGCTGAAGTCTTAGCTCTATCTAATATTCTTATTTATTAAACAGTGAATCATAATTTCAGTTGGAGTCGAAACTTGTTCATATTTTGTAACGATAATCAAACACTCAAGGCATATATATATATATAGCTCTACCGTAATTAAATTCAAAAATGAATTAGACTTGATTGAAACGTTATTATTATTATTATTATTTCATTTCATCACTCTTTTAATGCCTGCCCTTTCTTAATCCTTTCGTTAAAACAAAAAAAGTAGTATTTAACATTTTAATTAAATTTTTTTTAATTAAAGTTTAATTAATTTTTTAATTACGAGTATTACTGGAAGACAGAAACCACCAAATCTGATTTCTCTTTCTGACTGCTCTGTCATTAAATTCGAAAAGTAATATTTAAGTTTACATTTAACATTAGGTAGACAAATATTAAATTTGAATAATCTAACGTGTGTTATTTTAAATGTTAAATCGCTGTCGATAATTCTCAGCTAGAAAGTTACAGAAGACTTTTAACATAAATGCAGCACAGATTTAATTATAGTCTTCAACGCTATCATAGCTATAATCATATTAAACGGCAGAGTATGTGACGGGGCGATATCATATTGCTAGTGAGGATAGAGTAGAAGTTTTTAATGATATGTTTGTTAAGCTATTGAAGATCATTCCTTTAATTCAAATAATTTGCATTGTTAGATATTTTGAAGAAGCTACGAACAAGATACTATTCGGCCTTCTCGACGTACTAACAGTTACCTTGTGCTCATTAAAAGATTCTTTGTCAGTTTAAAAATGATAGATTTTCGAATATGTTGGAAATAATTGCGCAGTTCTAATGATTATTATACAAGCTTTCTTAGCAGTGAAAAAATATTGGATTTAAATACACTTGCTAATTTGACAACTGCAAATGTAAATAAAGCATACTTAGAATACTGCTTAGTTATTGCATTTACCACTCACCAACATAGTAGCCACTTCTTCGATTTTGACACAGAGACTCCTGTTTTTAATACTAAACTCTGGACTCCATTTTTATGAATTGGTTGTCAACGTTGAAAAATGATTGACTCGGTTCGAATGGAATTCTGCTTGAAATTATTTCATTTCACTCGTTTATACTTTATTGCAGTCAGAGTGCTTCTCATTGCTTCTTAGCAAATGTCTTCGCCAATTCCGTCACTCTTACACCCCGCTTATGTTTATCTATGATTTCTTTTTTAATTTAAACAGTATGGCTTCCTTATTTTTCTTTGCAGCACTATCTGAGGCAACAGTCTTCTTGGGAGGCATCGTGAAATAATTATTTTCACGTTAAATGTAATAAACAATTAATTCACAAGCCCACAAACACGTAGATCAAAGAACATTTTTATCAGAATGATTTTACTGTCAGAGTAAAGTACAACAAGCGGAGACATCGACAGCTAAAGTTAACCTAAACCTTACTCACGATAACTGTATCCGTTAACCACTGTATAGTATTGCTATGTATATCTATCAGGGAAATGAAATTAAAGATAAATTAACTTTTTTCTCGTATTTATACAAATATGTTAATAAACTATTGCAGTTTTATTTAATAATAAGCATATAATATAAAATTCAAATATTTTAGTAATTTAATATAATAATTAATGATTTTAGCTTAAAAATAACAAATTCTGGGAACTATATTTTCTTGTTTTTTATTATTAGTTCAAATACCCCCACGGTTACAATATAAAATTTTCTGCAGGACATTCACTAACTAAAAGGTGGTAATAGTGCTGATTGTTAATTTAACTTTGTATATGCGTGTTTTATATCTGTGACTATGCAATAATATAGTAGATGTTGTTGGCTTTGTAGGTATTAACGATGACATCCGACTCATGAAGAACTAAATGAAATCGAGGTAGGTAGAATACTTTTTATTCTTGATAAAACATTTCTAATAGACAGGCAGCTAAATTACTTGCGCAAAACGCGTTCTTGAAAGTATACATTAATCTTTTTCACATTTCGAAAATATCTGTTGTAGACACCACATGAATTCCTAGTACGGCTTCTTAAATTTGACACATTTCTTGCTAAATTTAATTTATTTCCTCGAAATTCATAAGCTTTCCAAATCAGTATTCAAAATCTACTTAAATACTTAAAAATACTTACTAAAGCTTTTTCTAATAATTCGTAGCATTAAATAAATTTATTTCCTTGAAGATGATATATAAATACCTTTTCTAATAATAAATTACATCATCATAAATATATCCAGAAATATGAATTACGTTTGAAGTGCCTGCTGTCAAATTAACGGATGATTAATTGTAAAACATGCGAGTCTACCTACTTTGCAACAGTGCGTTCGTGGTTAAAATTTTGAAGGAAACTGGCTCCTCTTTACCCCGTTACTTCATATAGGAGGAAAATAACAAAGGTATAAAAGCATAATTCTCGCTGACTGAGTTTCGTACAAAACTATTTACAGTTTTAAAACAGTAACCATTCGTGTCCATTGAAATCAGCAGAGTATCTGATTTTCAAAAAGCGCAAAAGGTTTATTTATAACTTACGCTGTATTTATGAGATCTCAAATTAATCAAAAAAATAATATAGACAGATAGATATAGGTATATGATGTATAGAAATAATAGTAAAATTAAATAATAGTATAATAGAAATATGTATATATATATACAGAGAGAGAGAGACTATAATATATATGTTTCTAGTCATTTTTAAGTCTCCTTAAATTACACTTTGTGACGCAAAATAACGGTAAATTTTTTGCAGCCCGTAAGAACTAGGTGTTTGCTGATTTCATGAAGCTGTAGTTAATGTTTCACTTGAATTTTTCGCCATACGAAAAACAAAGACGGGACCATATAAATTATTTGTTATATTTATTAAATATTAATCAATGTTTGAAGCAGTTCTCTCCTTATAGTTTTTGGGAATTAGGTAAACAGTTGAAATCGGCACACTAAATGATTTATGTCGGATCTAGCCTGCTGCTTAGTTATGCAAAAATTTTCAGCATAATCTGCCAGCTGATCTTTAAGTGATACAGAAACAGTATATCGACAAAATTTTGGGTAAATATGTTAACTACAACTTGGATTTCAATATGCAGGTGTCCCAAAATTCTTTTCCTGATACAAATATTCATAAGGTACAAAATATGACACATAGGCAAATACTTTTTTTTAATCTTAAATTGCTTGTAACGTATTCAAGTTTTGGTGTAAACGCTTACTGTTTTTTCGTTTGTTAGATTGCAGTGTTCGTTACTGTAGCCATGCTATCTGAGAATGAGAAAAATGTTAGCTATCTGAAACATGTCCTTTTCTCAGATGAGGCCATTTCATTTGAATGGTGGTGTCAATCGACACAGTGCTAAATCTGGAGATGCGAGAATTCCCACGCTATATTTCAGACCGTTAGAGACGGCCCTGAACTGAACGTATGACGCGGTCTTATGCACAATAAAATCATAGAATATTTTTTCTTCAGTGAAAAGACAATCACAGCCAATACCTATCTCAGTGTGTTACAGTTATTTGTTGTGCTACAGATGCAGAACATTCCAGACTTAATTTTCCAACAAAATGGTGCGCCACATCATTTTGGGTTAGATGTTCGTGTCTATTTGGATACAACATTTCCGGGAAGATGGATCGGAGTTGATGGTTCCATAAACTGGCCTCCGCGATCACCGGACAAAATAGCACTGGATTTCTTGCCTTAGGGTTATGTCAAGAACCAGATTTACCAAACACAAATGAACGACATCGCAGGGTTACGGTGCAGAATTACTGAAGTCATAACATCCATCCCTCACGTAATGTTGACCAACACATGGATGGAATTGGAATATCGCCTAGATATCCTTCGGGAAACGAACGAATTACGCGTATAAACTTATTAACTGTGTATATAAAAACTTGAATATGTTATATGCAATCAAGATACAAAACAATTTGTCAATATGTCCTATTTTATGCCTAATGAATATTTGGAATCAGGGAAAGAATTCTGGAACAACTGTGTACACAGACAAAGAATTTTATTGGTTTAAATGAGACGCATTGGTTTAAATGAGAGCATTTTTGACAATTACCGAAATGAGAA